TAATTATGTAAATCGACATCGTAAGTTTTGTATAAAACTGCTGACAACGGACGGTTACTCCAATTCGGGAATATGCAAAGGATAAAATCTGGTTACCCAAACGAAAAAGGATGCGTTTAACTCACGGGTCAGATGACAGGGTGAGATGATTCATCCAGGAGAAATGAAAGAAGCATGAAAATTTCACCGGTGAATTTACGTTGTCAGACGCGATAAGTACGGCTGTCACATGGGGACCACACGCGGTACCTACATGCCTAATTTCCGAGGCTGACTGAAATTCCTGCGTCATGTCCCGTCGCGTGGTTACTCGATTCCCGCTTAATCCTGAACTCGGACAGGTCCTCGCGTGCCCCTTGCCCCGGTTCGCACTCCCCCGGTAGCGATTGAACGGTTTTATTAGGTAATAAAGCGAGCCTCGTCGTTCGTGTTTCACGGTACGTCTTCACCGTGCCGAGGGTTCGAGCGTAAAATGAAATCCGATTCTACGGTCGCGCGTATCAGATGCGATAAACCCCGAGAAATGTTGTTACTCTCTGAAGCGACTTCGGTAAACAGTATCGGTTAACGCTGTACCGAGTCTTTCAAAGATATGTTCGATTCTTTACGATTCCGTAGAGTTGCATGGAATTCCTTGACACCGTTTTGGAAGTGCAGCGAACGGGAACGGACAAAAAGCGTAATGTAACAGTGGTACACGCGTGAAAATGCGCGCGGCAAGAAGCGTCGCGCACGCGGATGATTAGTACCCCTCGGACAGGGGGGGTAAAAAAAGGAAGCAGAACCGCAAGAAACGACTGCTAGCAACAAAGCATCATCGTCGGCGCAATACCTGACGAGGAGAGCGCGCGATACCAACGGCAGAAATGGTACTTAAAGGAGGCCTACAGTTAGGTAACATGTGGTAAAACGACCATCTGTCTAGGAAGCGAGTGCCGGTAGAATAGCGGCCAGAACAACGGCAAAGATCCTCTTCTATTCTATACAAAATCAAACTGCTCCCAGCGTGCGACAAGATAGACAATTACGTGTGGCTAATTCGAGTCCAGATTGCTCTGTGCTTGATTAACCTTTTATAACATAATCGAGGAATGACTGGTCTCTCTGCTGCATTGAATAAATTAATGCCGGGTCGATTTTACTACCAGCTTCGTGCGTGTCAAGCGTCGTCGTCGGACACGACAGATTTCTTTGAATATAATTTATTATNNGTCATTTACTGTTTTTTTTATTAATTTCATTTTTGTCGTCTGTGTCGTCTATCTATTTCGTAGATGATCATTCTGTACAAAAAAGTATTAACTTATTAATATCGAAAGATCATTAGTTAATACTGTTTCTATCGGTGTTGAAATTTTTGCTTCAAATTAATATTATTAATTGAGTACTTTTTCTCAATGAAATTTTTCACTTTTCCTATACTAATTGTCAAATTAATCAATTAAATCGAGGAAACACGATTAAACTAATGATAATAATTTTAGGCGAAAATTTCAATAGGTGTCTGTTGACACCGTTTGGTAGAAATAATGTTAAATTGACGTCACAAACATTCTATTTCACATGAAAATCTACACTTTCAGTCCTGATTGATAAGACAGAAAAATATATGGAAGCTTGTTCGTAGGAAGCTTCCGGTTAAACGTTCGCGATTTTAACAATTTCCATGATGCTTGACAGCGTTTACGTGTAACCATAAATTAGCCGGGCTAATTTATACACCGCGGGGATCGTCTCAGTTAATTAGATTCGGCCAGGTGAGCCGATCACGGCGGTACGCGACAGAAACTGGAATTGCGAAGCACTTCGAAACGTAGAAATGATTCTAATAATTATTAATAATTCGTGAGCGCGTATAAAAAATGCAGCCCTTCGCGAGTACAGGTTCTCTCGCGGAAGATGTTAATCACGAGACTCACCGACGTATAAATTGAATAACGGTATGAGACAAGATAGGATTTTAATTTCAACTTTTCCGATCGTTGATGCGAGATTGATAAACAGACTACATAGGTGTTCCATGCCTTAACGTTTAAAGTTTCTTCCTGTCTCTTAAAAATGCCAATCAAGAGAAATCTTCTCTGGTTTATAATTATTTCAAAATCCGCATAAAATTATAATATCTGATATACAGATACTTCAAACGATTTTGGACCAATTGTGATGCCGCAAGTGAAGTTAGTCCAAAATCGACTATCCATAATAAATGTTTGATGTATAAAAATATTCTGATTTAAATTAGGACACCTCGGAATAAAAATGTTTCGTGACGAACGTCCGTCGGTGCTCGGTTTCTCTTAAAGCTTTCTGGTTAACAAAGTGAAAATTGCAGCTGTTCCCGATTATTATTGGACACGTATTACCGTGCGCAAACAGAACGAATCGGTAAATTCATGGTGCGCGAGGCGCGAGTCCCGACGAGGATAATTTGCAAGGTTGCTGGCCCGAGTTGTAGGGAGGGAGTGGATCGCCGTAAGCGTGACGGGAGAACAGGTTGCTACGGACCTTCGCCAATTCAGAAATAGGATTGCTATTTTTGTCTGTCACGAGACCGCGCCGAAATATTAGACCAGTCTCGCATTTCAATTCATTTGAATACGTCTTCTTGTAGTATAAACACAAGGCGTTTGTCGATTCTCATTCCCACTTGGTTACACATACTAAATTCTCACTCATCAATACTCAATTTTAGGATTTTTCTCAATAA